CTGAAGAAGTCTCTTGGAAGAGAGACTAAACGTTTCATTAAAGAAGAACCCGTCCAGAGGACCTATACAATTTTTTTTCCCTCTTCAATTAATTGGTCATTTTAAAGAAGTACTCGCATCCTAATTTTATAAGTTGAACAATTATCAATTTTATTTAGTTTCAAACAGTTATTCATGCTGGTGAAATCCCCAAGTTGTACTTGTCTATTTAATTTTTTTGTCATGTTGTCAAAAGCCTCCCATTGGTCACCTCTTGTCTTCGCCATTGCACCTGATGGTGGATAAAGTAAAATCTTGCACTCATCAGTTGTCACTTTGCAATACCTTGAATGAAATATTAAAGCTTTCCTCTTTTTATTCAGTGTAAYTCTTAGCTAATGTAATATCTTGCCCCAAAACATTTAGTTTTATTTAAATTRCCTGTTAAATTTCAGTTTAGAGAAACATACTGTATTTAAAACTGCTAATGTTTAAAAAGCAAATCCTTCAGACCGGGGATATCAGTGTACTACTTGTTTCAAGTAAAAGTAAAATTTGCTGACCATACAAGCATTGTTTGGCTTGACTTTACAATAGTGGTTAGTAAACAGTGTGATTAAATTGAAKTGTGATAGCAGTGGTTCAGGTCCAAGCAGTTCTAGAGGTAGAAAGCAGATTATTTTTTATTTTTATATCAGCATTCAACAGTTTGTGTATATTCTGCTCTTTTCTTCAGTTTACCAAAGATTTCATCAAAACCTTGTTGAAGAACAATGAGGAATCAGAGGCTTCTTCAAGCTGTGTTGAAAGCTCTGATGAGTATATTCCGCCAAAACACCAAGCCACTTCTGATGATTCCAGTGGATCGGAGCAAAAAGTTTCATTGAAATGAAAGAAGATACAGAAGACTTGCATAAGAAAAAAATGGCACACTTCTCCAGTAACAGACAGCGCCACTGCAGAAAGCGAAAACTGTGACACAAAACAASATGTTTCTGTAATGAAACTAAAGAAAAAAAGATGGAAAAAGACTACAATAAGAAACACTTTTGTCTGTACTGTCCTGAGCAGTTCCTTAAGATGGCGAGACACTTGGTGCATAAACATAGTGATGAAT